GTCTGAAGGCAGATCTCCTCCCTCCTGGAAGGAGCCTGTCTTTCTCTGGTCTTCAACCGATCGGGGGAAGTGCATTCACATTCAGGACAAAGAAGAGAGCCTGGTATTACCCACCAAATAATCACTTAACTCTAGGTCAGCACTGGGCTCTTACTCTGCCAGCTCCCGCCAGCTCTTCTGTGCAGGTCCTCTGGCAGATGGAGTTCTCCCTCACACCCCTTTGCTGACCCCGCTTCCTCTTTCCTGTGGCACGTGTGAGGCGCAGGCTCTGGCCACCCTTATCTTTTATTGCTATGCTCTCTTCAGGGAGCAAGCCAATTTCTGCAACATCGAGTGACCTGCCCAGATTAGAAAGAGCACCAACACTTGGGCAGCAGGACTGAAATGGAGTTTTTGTAATGACACAAAAGAAAAGGGCACCACAACCAAAGCAGCAACACACGTTCAACAAACTCGTAGAAATATAAGACCTTGTGGATAAAGAGGAATGTTCTATATGAGCCAGGAAAGAAAAAACTCAGGAGCATATAATGGTCACAAACATATATGCACCTAACAATACGGCACCAGAGTTTATGGTGCAATAATGGACAAAGTTACAGGGAGAAATGGAACAGAACAGAGAGCTTGGAAACACACACATTCACACACTCTATGAGAATATCCTATATAATAAAACCCTAATATGCAAATTGACCAAATGGCAGAATGATTGGTTACTATGATGTGCACTGAGGAGCTGCTCCCTGGTGGTCAGTGTGCTTTTGCCGGGGGAGCACCACTCAGCCAGAAGCCAGGCTCATGGCTGGCGAGCTCAGGGGTGGTGGCGGGAGCCTCTCCTGCCTCCTGCCTCTATCGCAGCACTAAGGAGCCCTGGGGGATGTCTGCCTGCTGGCTTAGGCCCCCTTGCAGACAAACATCCCCCAAGGGGGTCCCAGACTGTGAGAGGACTCAGGGAACCCCCTCCCCTCCCAGTGCATAAATGTGCAAGGGGCCTCTAGTAGTATATAAGTAAGTTTATAAGATATTTACAGGAATAACATTAACATTTTTTGATGAACTTAATTCAAGATGGATATAAACAGAGAGATTATGTGTTACTGAGTCGGAAGATGTCGTATCATAAAAATGTCCATTATTCTGAACGTGATCTACAAACTAATACCATGCCAATGGATATTCCTATAATGCTTTTCATTGTTCGTTTGATTTTGGTTTGGGAGGTGAAGATGAGAACCAATAATTTTTAAAGTTCATATGGAAGAGAGACTGTGAGAATTGCTAATACATTTGTGCAAAGGGAAGGCTAATGCGTATGTCCTTTACCTGTAGGTCTGAACACTTACTATACAGACTGTTACTGAGATAACGCGCTGGCAAAGGAAAGGGACCAAAGGATTTTAACGGACTGGACCCACGTGTAGGGAGGAGCCTAATCCATCCTCCATGCGACATTCCCGGGTGGCGGGGAAGGAGAGGCATTTCACAAATGGTGCATAACAGCCTCTGGAGACAGAGTCCCTCTCCCTGCATCGCCCATCTTCACGCTCCACGCCAGGTGGAACGGAGAGCGAAACATAAACACAACGGGACCCCGGAGACATTTAAAAATTGTACTGTAAGATCCACACGTCTTAAGAAAATGTTACGGACGAAATAAAAGCTTAAAATACCTGGCAAAAGACAAAAGCTCCAAAAAGCATTCCTTAAAAAAAAAGAAGAAGAAGAAAAGGCAATTAAACCAAAGCATCAAAAAAGAGGTGATAGGGAGGAGATGTCTGCAGCAATCGTTCCGCAGACCAAGAGTTAATAGTTTGCTGATCTGAAGAAAGCTTCTGGGGACCGGAAAAACCAAGTCTTATTCTCTTATTCAGTAACCTCACGAGACCTCTCTCATGAAATCACTTTCGAAATGGAATTCTAACCTGTGTCTCCTGGGGCCCCTGGGCCTCACATGTGTCTCTCCAGATATCAGCGACCGATGGAGCCAGGGAGGTGGCCATTGCTCGCTGTCTGAGCCTGCCACCGATTCTCGTCTACCTGGACCCGTGGTCACATGTCAAGTGCTCTCTTCCGCCCCAGGATTCCACATAAGCGACAGGTTAACTTCATATAACTGCATGGTGTTAGCATCTCATTTTTGTAATACGGAGTTATCATTTCAAATTTCTCCTTTACCCATCACTTCATCTCCTTTTCCCAGAGAAAGCTGCATTCCCTGGTGGGGACATGTGGAACAGCCCCCGAGGAGATGGGGACACACTAAGGGCCACCTTTCGCCACACGGTATGCTCTCAGGGGTCGCCCATAAGGAGCCCCGGCCACGTGCCTGTGGTGCACGCTCATCCACATGTGTGAATAGCCCTGTCCCAGCAGGGTCAGCGTGGCCCGCCTCTCAGCCAGTGAGCGGAACGAGGGGAGAGCGACAGGTCTTCAGCGGAGCCCAACAGCATGTGCTGGGGGCAGATTTCCTATTTTCTGGTGGGAAGGCAGCTGGCGGAACAGGGTGGGCTGGTCTTCTGGCCTGATTTCGGGGGGCTGTTGGGCTGTGTCTGGCTCCCAATAGGAGATGTAGCTAACCTGCTCCGTGTGGGGGGGACGTCCAACAAGGGAAGGTCTGAGCAGGTTCTGAACGGTCATGGCAGGAGCTCTGGTCTGTGACATGTGGCTGGTCTTTATACCTGGGCTGGGCTGGTGGCCTTCCGGGAGCTCAGTGTGTGGCACAGGGCAGTGAATTCAGCGTGGAGAAGACGGGCAGGAAACTCGAAGCGCATTCTTTGTTGCCAGGGCCTCCGATCCTTCACCCAGTGGCTGTGCTGCGTGTCCCCAGGAAGGGGACCTGGAGAAAGCCCACACTGAGTCTCCCCTTCTCCCTGGGCATCTCGGAGCCTGCGTGCTGGCTGTGTGTCTGCAGACATGCTGCTGTATGGAGGCTGCACCCGCCACTAGATTTGCAGGCTCTCCCTCCCATGCCGGTCCCCCCACCAGGCACGCTCGCAGACGGGGGATCAGCATTCAGAGCATCTCAGTGACTTGTCCAGGGCCATACGGGGCCCAGCCTAGAGAAGGCAATTCTGAGCCCTTGTCTGCGTTCAGGCACGTACGTTAGCATTTTAAAATAGGAACGAGATCCCACTAATTACCCCGTTTGTCATCAAGAGCATTACTGGCATTACTGGGTCGGATGTAACGGAGGAAACCTTTCCTGGGAGGGTTCAAGGCACCGAAATTCTGATCTGGTAGTTAAAAGATGACACAGGATCTCATTTTTATCAGCCAATTAAAGGTTAGTGAGAGACGTGGGACCAGAGGTCAAGGGTCACCTGGCGAGGTTGACAGGCATCACAGAGACGAGGCCTGGGTTTGTGTCCTGTACAAGTGACATCTCCCATCATGTGGGAGGTCCCCTGCCCTCCTGACCTGCTCCTGCCTCCCCAGGGCCACTGTGACCTCCAAAGCTCTCCTCCTCAGTTGGGAAAGAAAAGAGGAAAACTCGATTATCCAACTTACACAGCTGCCTTTTCCTCAAAGATCAGCCTTTCACAAATGGAGGGCTGTGTCCTTCCTTCGGTCAGATAACGGTTATAATGATTGTTACTGGGCATGTGACATTTCACAGCTCCTAAAATCCAGAGGGTCAGAAAGCCTTTGTCCCCACACTATGTGCGGCCAGGCCTGTGGGTCCTGGGGCGGAGGGGAGGGAGGACCAACTCAAGGGTTCCCCTGGGGCTGGGAATGGGGTTCTGTGCAATAAGGGCCACTTCCAGGTTTTCTTCACATGACCCCAGATAACAGACCATGTGACCATATGACCAGGACGAAAACCGTCTCTTAGGATCTGTTGAATATATATATATTGATAGATATATTAATGATGATGGATGTGTGGCGTCCTCAAGGCTGCCAGCAGTGGAGCTCTCCCTGCGAAATGATAGATGTGTATGTTGATCCTCAGTATCAACAGATACTAACACACACACACACACACACACACACATCTATCATCTATCTATACACCGAATGGCCAGATTATGATGATCTCTGGACACATAATAATCTGGCCACTCCGTGTATATCCTATATAATAAAAGGCTAATATGCAAATTGTCCCCTCGACCAGGAGTTTGACCAGCAGGCAGGCTAGCCAACCACCTATGTCCCTTCTCCCTGGCCAAGCTGGCCGGACCCCACCCATACATGAATTCATGTATCGGGCCTCTAATATATATATATATACACACACACTGAGTGGCCAGATTATTATGCATTCAGAGATCACAGTAATCTGGCCACTCAGTGTACATTGGGAGAGAGAGAGAGAGAGAGAGAGAGAGAGAGAGAGAGAGAGAGAGAGAGAGAGAGAGAGGCTCTCCAGGCACAGAGGCTGAAGGAGCCTGTGACACTCTCTCTCCCTCTCTCCCTGCCTGTCTCTCCCCCGGTCTCTGCCTCTGTCTCCACCCTCCAGCAAGCCCCAACCCCAGGGTGTGTGCTTTCCACAAACACCTGTGTCCCGAGCAGCCTCTGCCCAGACCTGGAGCTGGGGTTCCCCGGGGGGAGCTTGGGGCTCACACTGCAACCTGCATCTCAGGGGCCGCTGAGAGGGGTCCCACTGGCCCGGGGGCAGCTGCCAGTGCCGGACAGGGATGCCAGGGTCTCCTACGAGGGCATAAGCCCCTTGCCAACCGCCGGGAACTCCCTCCCCGCCTGTCCCCGAGCGGCTGGGAGGGGCAGGCGGGCGGGCAGGCTGCTTTCCAAAGACCAGCCTCCCTTCACGGCTGTCCGCCTGGAGCGGCACTTCACGTCAGCTGCGGTTTGAGAGGTCAGGCTGGAGTGACCCCGAGCCTTGAAGCTGCGAACCGCCCGCCAAACACGCACGTGCTCACTCCCCTCCCCCGGGCGACTCTCTCCTCATTAGCTGTTCCCTTGAAGGACTGACTTCCCTCCGGAGGGAAATTCCTGAAACCCAACAGTTGACAAACCCACACACCCTCCGGAGGGCCGGGCACCAGATAAAAGGGGGACGTCCACTGCTGAGAGCAGGGACCTGCCGCCGCCACCGGGGGACCCAGCGGAGCGCGGGGACCCGGGGCCGGGCCCGGGAGAGCGTGGGGGCCGGTCGCCCGGACCCGCACCGCGGGGCACCTGCAGCGGAGCCCAGCCAGCCGGCGCCTCCCCTCGGGGATCCCCTGGGCGCCCCCCAGCCGGTGGCCGAGCTCCGTCCTCAGGCTGCCAGCAGCGCAGCGCTCCCTGCGAGGAAAACTGGTTCTCTGGGTTTTTCTGGTTTGCTCTCCGCGCTCCCCTGGACGATCTATTTCTGTCTTTTCCTTTGGGAAAAACGCGCTTTGCCAATGACTAATCGGGGCCCGTGCGGAGATGTTATCAGCTGTCACCTGCACCGCAGCCCCCGAGCCCGAGCCCGCGCCCGCGCCGAAGCCAGGAGCTAGACGGCGGGCGGCTGCAGCCCCGACCTGCCCGCACCACCTGCCTCCCCGGAGCTGCTAGACGCGGGCTGCCGCCTCGGCCACCCCTGTCCCTGCCCCGGGCCTGGCATGCGGCCATCCCAGTGACTGCCAGGGGCCCCGTGCAAGGGGCCGACCCAGGTGTCTGAGGAGCCGCGGGCGAGCCCTGGATGGAGCTTGGCACCCAGACCCCTCATGTCGATCCTGCTGACGCTGTGCGCCGTGCTCCTGCCCCTGGTGACTCCGGGCCGAGGTGGCCGGCGGTGGGAGCCCTGCACAGGTAAGGGGGCTGCTGCCCTGGAGCAGGGCGGTGTGGCTAGGCACTAAGTGCCACTTCCCGATGCCACCCAAGGTCCCCGGTGCCCTCGGACGGGCAGAGGTGGGACGGGCAGAGGAGGGGAAGATGAAAGGGAGCAGGGAGGCAATCACAATAGAAACTCCGTCTTTAACTGCTCCCAGGGTGGGGACTCGGTTCAAAGCGCTCGGCAGCCGCCATCGGAGGCCCTTCGCATGTGCTTACCTGCTTGCCCTCCTGGGGGAAGGCCTTCCACCTGCTTCAGGAATGAGGCCCTCGGAGGAGGCGGGGAACCCGGGCGGCACTTGGCGAAGCGCAGGGCCGCCCCCCAGCCTGGTGGTTCTGTCCCGTGGGGAGTGAGGGAGAGGGGCACAGCCCCAAACCACCTTTTGGGGGGACCTCCATCAGAGCGGGGCTCCCCTGGCCAGCACACCAGGGCGGCCGGCGAGGCGGGGGGGAACAGGGGTGAGGGTGGGCCAATGATGCTCCCTTCTTTACAGAAAGGCCCAGTGGCCGAAACCAGTTTGGCTCAGTGGATAGAGCGGTCTGCGGACCGAAAGGTCCCGGGTTCGATTCTGGTCAAGGGTATGTACCTTGGTTGCAGGCACATCCCTGGTGGGGTGTGCAGGAGGCAGCTGATCGATGATTCTCTCTCATCGATGTTTCTAACTCTCTATCCCTCTCTCTTCATCTCTGTAAAAAAAAAAAAAATAAAATAAAATATATTTTAAAAAACGAAAAAAAGAAAGAAAGGCCCAGTGGACTTGCTAATGGCCATGACACCACCGTACCTTCCTGGATTATCTACCAAGAGATTAAAAAGTAATAATTTTTTTTAAAAAGCAAAGTAACAGGGAAACGAGGCCTGGTAGCCATAAAGCTGGATGTCAGACCATGAGCCAGTGATGCAGGCACGTGTGGCCTTGTGTCGCAGGGAGTCGCCGAAAGGGGGTGGTGTGGTTCTGGTTTTATTTGAAAATTATTCAATCCTGGTTCCCTGGGGTCAGCGAAGCCCCTCTGTGCCAGGGCTCTTTGCTCCGATGGCACTTGGCTCCCAGTGAGGAGACCAGGGGATGCCGGCTGCTGATCTGAGTTGGAGCACTGACTGGCATGGGTGTGGGGGGTGTCTGTTAAACTCCCCTGCCCCCACCCTAAACGGCCAGCACCCCGAGCAGGAGGTGAGCAGCCGGTGGGGTCCTCAGGCAGCCGCTGTGGGAGTGCAGGGGCACCTGAGTAGGGGGCTGCACCTGCCCCCTTTCCTGTCTTGAGCACCAGATTTGAAAATCATAGGGGAGCCAGGTCAACCTGTGAGAAGTCCCCTGTGATGGAAGGCCCAACTCCCCCCTGGTATAGAGGGCGGAACGCGGGGTCCCAGCAGCCCCCTAAGGACCTGTGCGGCTCAGGGGCCGTGCGTCCTGAGTTCGCGGCGGTGTCCCGGTGGGAATGAGTCACTGACATGTACCTTCACGCTCCCTTCGGCGCTGGGAGCAGAATCAACCTGCATCATAATAATACAGGTTATTTATAAAGCCCGCCCCCTCTCCCCCGAAGGCACATTGCAAATAGTTAAAAGATGACCCAGTTCTGAATACCACAGCCGAGAGAGGAGAGATAAAAGTCACGAAATAGTATTGAACTACATCTGGAACCGTCCCAAGACCCTTGTGGAAAGGCGAGCCGGGAGCGCGGGGAGTTGAAAACACCGCTTTGACTGCCTTCGGCTTTGCAAAGCACCGGAGTTACCTGCAGGGTGGTGTGTGCGTGTGTGAGTGCTCGCCTGTGTAGGGGCTGGACTCCACCTCCCTCTGGGCTTTGTTCACGGGCCTGCCATTGTGCGGGGCCTCGGCTGAGGTACCGGGATGTGGAGTCCTGGCCCCGACTCTTGGAGGGTGGCTGGTGGCTGAGGTGCGGGTCTCAGGACAGCGGTGAAGGCTTCAGCTTGCGCGCTCCCCTCGCAGGAGGATGCTGGGCTGGGAGAAGGCCGTTCTGCTCGCCACCATTGTGCCATCTCTCTGTCCTGGTCCCCCTCGCTCCCTAGCATCAGGTGGCTTAAGGTCCCTGCAGGGCTGCGGGGACCTCCAGACCAGGATTTCCAGGTGTCCCTGGGCAGCGGGGCAGCAGAGGGGAGAGGAAGTCCGGGCAGATGCGGAGGCTGGAGCGGCCGGGAGCGGGGAGGACAGGGGACCGTGGCGCAGTGGGACTTGGTGTCTGTGTGGCTTCGGGAGGCACGGAGAGGGCAGTGCAGGAGGCCCGGGTTGGGGAGGGGGGCCTTGTCTGGACAGGAAGCAGGCCACCTCACTGGCTTTCGGAGGGTTGGGACTGCAGGAGCTGTGTCCCAGTTAAAGGGGGCGTGGGGTCTGGGCAGGGGAGCAGGCAGGGGTCCCTGGGAAACTGGCCGGGACCATTCAGGTGTGGACTGACCAGCAGAATGTCACCAAGGCCCTTTTTGGGCAAGCTCATGCCGATGGACACCTCTTAGGGCAGTGGCCGGCAAACTGCGGCTCTCAAGCCACATGCGGCCCTTTGGCCTTTTGAGTGTGGCTCTTCCACAAAATACCACATGTGGGCGCGTGATTGAAACTTTGTGGCCCAAGCGCAGAAGTCAGTTTTTGGCCTGAGTGAGTCTATTTTGAAGAAGTGGTTCTAACGCCGAGCCACACACAGGGGGCCAAAGAGCCGCATGTGGCTCTCGAGCCGCGGTTTGCTGACCACGGTCCTAAGGGAAGGCAGTGTGGCTGGGACCCTCTGCAGAGGGGTGGGGCCAGGGGACTGGCTGGCCCTTCTGCACCGTTTGCCTGGTGGTCAAGCCTCAGTCCCAGCCACGCCTGAGACGGCCCAGCGGGTGGGCAGCACGAACAAGCCTCCAGGGCCAGGGGCTGGTGGGAGGTGCAGCCGCTGGACCGGCCTCGGGATGAGAGGGTGGAAGCGGCTCTGGAGCCAGCAGCTGGGGCTCAGGGCGTGCCCTGGTGTGGGCTCCGTGGGTTGAGGGTGGCCCGCAGGATTCTGGGCCAGGATGCCTCTCGTGCTATTGGCCTCCCTGACCCTCGGAGCCAGGCCATGGCCTCTGAGGCTGGCACCCCTCAGCAGCGGCCAGTTGCCTTGGAATAGAGAAGTGGAGATAGGGATTGCGAAGACCCACTGGGCTCCTATAAAAGGCCCGTGGTTCCAGCGGCATGACACACGTGTGGGTGTCCTTCGGGGAGACACCTGGGTGGGCATGTCCCAGAGGGGGGCTCTCCAACAGGGAGGGGGCAGCGGCCATGGGTGGGGGCCGGTGGTGCTGATGGAGAGTCCCTATTGTCCATCCCAACTCGGCTTGTCCCAACCAGGCAGGAGGCCACGGTGGAGAGTCCTGTGGGAGCCGTAATTCTGGGGGACAGCTCGACCTAATGCATCGGGGTCACTGACAGGCTTCGGGGAGCTGGGCAGAGAAAGGGGTAAAGGGGGTGTCTGATGGGGATGGGAAGTCAGGAGAACCGTGTCCCACCTTCTGGGTTGTGTCTGTGAGTGTCGTCTGTCACCTGGAATCAGCCAGAGGTGGGTCCTCACCCAGGACTCAGGGCCTAATCCACACGGCACCCATCCATCCTCCCCCCTTCCCTCCTTCGTTTGTCCAATCCTAGGCAAAGATGGCGGCTGGGTCACAGCAGAAGGCAGAGCGTCCCAAGGCTGGGGACTTACACCTCCATCGAACCGCAGCTGCGCAGAGCAGACAGCTGTGGCCCCCTGGGCCGGAGGCAGGAGAACCCAGAGGAGCCACATGGCCAAGGCTCTCGGCAGGGACCCCACGGTGGGCGGTGGGCTGAGTGCAGGAGTGGGTGGAGGGGTCAGGCCTGGCGTGCCCTGCAGCCTTGGAGACGGAGAAGTGCCCAGGGAATGCTGGGAACAGGTTTGCATTTTAAAGCAGCTGGCTGGGCGGCAGTGGGCATTGGGGCCCCTTTGCCGCTGGGGCAGTGAGCAGGGGTGGGGGGCACAGGTCCTTTCAGGGCCTTTGCCCTTGGACTTCCTCGCCAGGAGCTCTGGGGTGGGCGGTGCTTCAGTGGGGATTCCAGGTGTGAGAGGCCCTGAAACCCGTTCCTGGGAGTCACCCTGCTGGTGGCTCACATTCACATCAGCCAAGCCTCTTAGCCGTTTGCAGTGACCGAGCCTGCAGCTTCTCTCTCCTGGTCCGCCGTGCAGCGCCCACCGGCCCCTGGGAATCTGAGAGCAGCCCCTGGCCCGCACTGGAGGCCCCGGAGGCCGGAGCCCATGGAGGGGGAGGAGGCTGACAGTTCTGCTGGGCCCCGGAGTGGCTGGCCAGTCCCATCACCTGTAGCGCTAACTTTTAGCAAAAGTTCATACGTGACATTAAATGGATGATCACTCCCACCCCACCGGGTCAGGCTCAGCGACCTGCACTCCCCCTGTCCCTCCAAACACAGGCCTGAGGGACACCATCCCCTCTCCCCCAGCACAGAGGAGGCCGTGCTGACACCAGCGCACTGTCACCCTGACACCTATTTTCCTTTAAAACACGATCAGCTGTTAGGACAGGGGCATTTTAAAATTGTCTGCACAGAAATTGGGAAACAAAGAATATTCACTTTTTTTTTTCTAATGGGATCTCATAAAGATCAGAACCGTTGATTCTGTGGTTTCCATCTTCGAAAGTAAATCATGGATTTCCCGGCAGTCTTGGTCCACAGTCAAGGCGCAGGCTTGGGGTCTGGACCTGTTTCCTGATGGACCACCCCATTTCCCCGTCCCCTCTGCACCCCCTTCCCCCCACCCCCATCCTCCCAGGTGGATTCTGAGCCCCAGGCTTAGAGAACTCCGTGTTGGGGCAGGAGGGGCCCACTACCCTTCTCATCCAAGTCTGGGTGGGGGTGGGGGGAGCAGGGAGGGGTAGGAAGATGGGACAGGATGCTTGCCTGTCACCCTCCGCACCCCAACCCCGCACCTCTGATTGCAGGAGCACCTGGAATGCGGACTCTGGCCGTAGGAGCCCCTCCCTTCCCTCGCAGCGACTCTGTTAACTTTTGCCCTGCGGTGGAGATTGTTTTTGCGGGGGAGGACTGTCTCAGAAGAATCCAATCTAAGAAGCATCTCGAGCAATGCCAGGCTCACGTACCTGCCATTGGTGGAGGTGGGGGGTGATGGGGGGAGATACCAGCCTCGCTGCCCAGGTGACTCCGGGGTCGGCTTGCAGCCCGGGAGCCCCCTCCGTTGCCGCCTGGGTTGTGGCGACGGAAGAAGGAGGCGGGCGACCTGGCATGGGGAGCTGCCCCCTTTGGGCAGGGGAGGGGGTAGAGGTGGCCTGAGGTCGGGTCTGCGGACCGGGCTGGGTCCAGGGGAGCACGGGGACCAGAGGGTGTTGTGCTATGCAGAGGGGCAGGCGGTGTGTGCGTGTGAGTGTGCACGCGCGTGCTCCGCTGAGAAAATAAACCCAGAGCATGTCCATCCAGGAGATAACCCGTCTCCTGCTCTTCCCCCCGCGGCCTGCGCGGCGCCCGCCGCCGGCCTCCCGGGCTCGGGTGCAGCTCCGCAGCGCCCCCTGGCGGGCCTGCGAGCAGCGGCTGGAGACGGAGCAGCCGGGGAAACGCCGCTGGGCGGGCGTCGGGGAAGCCCTGCACCGGGCCGTCGCCTCCCCTGGGAGCGTGCGTGTCGCGCCCCGGGGTCGGGTCGGGTCGGGTCGGGCTGAGCCGGGCGCTCCGGGGAAGGTCACCAGGGGGGCAGGCGCTGCCGGCGCCCCGCAGAGCGGAGCAGCGCCGCGCGCAGGCGGTGGCTTCTCTGGCTGCTTCTGGTTAAACCCGGGAGCCTTGGTCGGGGCGGCTTTCCGGACCGGACTCCGCTGGGGTCGCGGGTGGGGCTGGGGGGGTGGAGTTCAGGGCCTTGAACTTGGGTGGGAACCACTGCACCTTTATCGTCATGACTCCAACCCATTCGTAGCAGCCCCCAGGAGAGTGGTGGGGGCGGGAGGGTCGCGGGCGAGGAGGGGGCATTGGCTGGGGTATGGAGGCAGGGGACCTCAGGTAGGAAGTGGCTCTGTCCAGGAGTGAGGGGGGGGCGCTTGGGAAGTTGGGGAAATGTGGGCGCCCCAGCCAAACCGGCAAGGAGGGAAACAACAACAACAACAACAACAACAACAACAAAAGGGTTTTCCAAAGGCAGCAGGCCCGGCCCCCAGAGGGTGAGCCCTTGAACCGCCTGCCCTCTGGCTTTCCCCTCTGACTCTGCTGCACTCAGGCTGGACCTGGGCTGGGCTGGGGGCCAGGAGGTTGCCATTGGCCTGTGCGGCACAGTCAGGTGGGTTTGGGACGTTTGAATAAAATGAAGATGTTCAAGGGGAGGTGGAGGGACAGGTGCAGAAATCTGGTTGTTTGTGGGACCAGGTTGAATGTCCTGGTCCCACAGCCTCTGGGCCCAGAAGCCAGCGGGTGCCCTGCCCCCCTGGGGTCCTCACCCTGATCAGAGAGGGACAGCAGGGTCCTCCCGCCAAGGGCCTGCTGGCCAGGGGGCTGTTGGCCACTTGAACCCCAGACATGCAGCACAACCCCCCAGAGCTGCCCGGAGGCGCAGACACAGGAGTGCGGGCCGGGGACCGCCCCGGGTGGGCCTCAGACAGCATTGCTGGAAAAGCTCTCCCAAGGTGTGACTGACTGTGTCTAAAGATGCAGACGCCAGGGTTCTGTTACTCTGGGAAGCTGGACAAAACCCACAACTAGGCCCAGAGAGAGGACAAGGGTAGCCAGGACAGCACGTTTATTCACTCCGCTCGAGAAACGTGTATGAAGAGGGGAGGGCAAACAGCATCGGGGGTGCGGGGTTCGAGACCAGGCAGAGGTCTCAGGGAGGGGACTATGGGAGAAAGGCCAGGAGCCAGGTCTGTCAGAAGCAACCCGGGACCCCCACTAACAGGGGAGGGTCATCTCAGCTTCATCTGGGCCTGATGTAGGGCTGCAGACAGGCTCAGCCTGGTGGTTGGGGTCTGAGGCTAGCAAGCGTTCATGTGGAGACACGTCCCGGTGCATGTGCTGGGTTAATCCTGAAGGGTGTTGTGAGGGGAGTGGGGGCTGGCCCTGGGGGACATGCCTGCTCAGCAGCAGGACGTCTGGGCCGAGGTGGGGACGCAGCAGGCCGGGCGGGAGCACACGGGGCGGCAGATCAGGGACATGCAGGAGGACGGGCGGCAGCAGATGGGCTGGCAGGAGGAGGTGGGGCCACAGCAGGAGGAGGTGGGCACACAGCAGGCAGGCCTGCACACGGGGCGGCAGATGACGGACATGCAGGAGGAGGGTCTGCAGCAGGATGAGGTGCAGGAGGTGGGCTGGCAGCACGAGGAGACTGAGCAGGGGGTGGCCCCAGAGCAGACGGGCACACAGCACATGGGCTTGCAGCAGACCGGTGTGCTGCAGACGGGCACACAGCAGGCCTGCTGGCAGGGGGAGGAGGTGCAGCAGGAGGGCTGGCAGGAGCTGATGCAGGAGCTGGTGCAGGCTGACTGGCAGGGGCTGGACCCACAGGTCACCTGGCAGCAGGGGCTGGACATGCAGCTCACTGGGGTGCAGACAAAGGTCAGGCAGCGAGCTGGGGCACAACAGCTGGGAGTGCAGCAGGTGGGCTGGCAGCAGCTGGGGGTGTAGCAGGAGGGGACACAGCAGCTGGGGACACAGCAGGAGGGCTGGCAGCAGGAGGGCTCACAGCAGCTCTCTGGACAGTCGTCCGCTTGCCAGGAGGAGTCAGTGCAGGAGTCACCAGACCCGGGCAGGCAGGCGCGGTTGCCGTAGTTCAGGTTGCTGGAGCAGACGGACAGGGCGGAGGCGGCCATGGTGGGCAGAGGCTGGAGGTGAGCTGGGAGGAGTGTGTAGGTGTGTGAGTGTGAGTGTGTGAGGTGCCAGGGCTGTCAGCTTTTATACCCCTCCTCTGTGTTGTGTGTTGCCCCAGCAGGAGGCTCCCCACGCCCTTCCTTCCTTGTTGGTGTTTGGAGCCTGTTCCTGGGGAGCCCTCGTGAGGGCTGGTTTATTTTCTTAGGAGGTGCTGGCCAGCTCATAAAAGTCCTGCCTGTGCTTGTGGTTGGGTGGCCAGTCCTGACCAAGCCTGCTGAGTGGCCTGAGAGGCCAGGCTGGGTGGAGCTGGGGCAGGTGGACAGAGGGTGGGCTGCTGAGTGAATGCTCATCGCAGGGACCTGGTGCTGGGGGTGGGTAACTTGGATTCTGGGTCCCAGGAATGGCTCCTCATGTGAGTGCCTGTCTCTGGGGCATTGGGTCCCCTTTCTTTTGCATTGTCACCGAGTTCCTGTAGATCAGTGTTTCACAAAGTGTGGTACGCGTACCCCCAGGGGTACGGGAAGAAATTGGTGGGGGTACGCGTTGCACCGGAGTTTGGTGGGGATATGCACTGCACCGTGCTTAGCTGCGCTTAATTCTACGTTCTCATGAGTATGAGGGGTACTCAGCATTACGAAAATTATAGAAGGGGTACACATATGTCAAAAGTTTGGGAAACACTGCCGGATGGAGGGAAGAGGAGGGTTGTGGCCAGTTCTGCCTGTGGTGGGCGCCAGCTGTCCCTGCCTCAGGTTGGGCTTGATAGACAGGTGCAGCTTGGGGGTTTTGTGCTGTTCTTCCTCCCGCCTGTGGCGTAAGCTGGCGGGGTTTGCTGTGGGCAAGGGCCGGGTGGTCAAGACACATGTAGGAAGGGGGAGGGAGAGAGACACAGAAACACTGATGATGAGAGAGAATCATTGATCGGCTGCTGCCTGCACGCGCCCCCCCCCCCCCCCGAGGATTGAGCCCACCACCTGGGCACGTGCCCTGACCGGGAATTGGACCCTGACCTCCTGGTTCATAGATTTCTGCTCCACCGCTGAGCCACACCAGCTGAGCTCAATGGCATTTTAACCAGAACCCTGAGAAAGTGTGAAAGCTACATGTATCATGCAAAGTTTGCCATCTGCAGCAGGGCCTCAAAGTACCGATATTTCTCACGGTAATGTTGATGAGATGCCGTAGGAACCCAACTCTTGTTTGTCTTCCGCGTCTGTGGTTAAGTTGACTTTGTTATTTCCTGCAGTTATTTTAAAAAAAATATATATTTTATTGATTTTTTACAGAGAGGAAGGGAAAGGGATAGAGAGCCAGAAACATCGATGAGAGAGAAACATCGACTAGCTGCCTTCTGCACAGCCCCCTACTGGGGATGTGCCCGCAACCAAGGTACATGCCCTTGACCAGAATCGAACACAGGACCTTCCAATCCCCAGGCCCATGCTCTATCCACTGAGCCAAACCGGTTCCAGCCTGCAGTTGTTTGTTATTAAAACTGCAGAATCTCTCCACCACGCTCAGTGAGGGCTGACCGTACATTTGATTTTGTGTCCTGTGCCCTGGGGCTGTGACAATTGGCCATACACTCGGAGGTTTAAAACGACTGACATGGGTCCTCTCAGACTCTGGAGACCACCTGAGTGCAGTTTCCTGAGCTGAGACCCCAAGTGTCATAGCCTCCAGGGGTGTCTTTCCTGCCGCTTCCAGCTGCTGAGGCTCCGGGCATATCTTGGCCGTGATGCCGGCGTTCCAGGCTCTGCCTCTGGTTATGTGTCCGCCTCCTTGTCTGTGTGAGAAGGAAGTGGCGTCTCTCTCTCTGTGAAGGACACATGTGAGGCCCCACGGGGCCCACCTGGCTGACCATGGATTGTCTCTCATCGCGAGATTCTTAATTTAATCAGCAGCCTCTGGTCAGTCTGCAGGTCCTTCCCCACAAGGTGACACCCACAGGTGCGGCGTTAGGACGAGGCTGTCTTTGGGGACGAGATTGGCCCACGGCGGCATTCTTTGCAAACACTCCCTGTCTCACCTCCCCACAGGGTCTCTCCCCGCTCCGCCCACCCCTCACTCGCACTGCCTGATTCGGTGTGTATGACCTTGGCAGGTCACTGTGGGCCCCGCTTCCTCTTCAACAAGATGGCGTCCCAGTGTACCCAGGCCATTGTGTGATTGATTTATTATCTATCATCTATTTATTTATTTATTTATTTTAAGCTTTACCCGAGGATATTTATCCATTGATATTTATTTATTTATTTATTTATTTATTTACTTACTTAGAGAGTGGAAGAGAGGGGGAAAGATAGAAACATTGGTGTTAGAGAGACACATCGATTGGTTGCCTCCTGCATGCACCCTGACCAAGGCCAGGGATTGAACCTGCAACTGAGGTATGTGCCCTTGACCGGATTTGAGCCCGGGAGTATCCAATCCACAGGCCGATGCTCTGTCCACTGAGCCGAACCGGCCAGGGCTGCTGTGTGATTTGAACACGTTCAGTGCCTGATGCTTACCCGGTGCGTCACCAAGCCACTGGCCTTACTGTGGTTTTGTTGGCCACATGGCAGCATCATGCTTAGCAAGGCAACTCCGATTGCCATGAAGAACCGGGATGCATCCTGCCGCTGGTCCAGCGTGGGTTTGACCGGAACGTGCACAGCAGGGGCCGAGGCCTCAGGCCCAACGGCGAGCTCACACTACCGGGCCCTACAGTCAGATTCGAAGCTCTGATTTCCGGGCTTCCTCAGCATTCTGAGGCAACAGGAGGCCTGTCTGTCCGTCCAGACACGTCTTTCACGGGCGGCGCCTATGGAAACGAGCTCCCAGGCTGCTGCTTGCGAGGTGGCTGTGGGTGAGAGGAGCACCCCGGGCAGCCTGCTCTCTCTGCTTCTCCCTCCATCCCAGCTGCTCATGCGCAGAACTCCAGGTGAGGGCAGGACCGCAGAACAGACACATGGCTCTGCCCAGCCAAGCGCAGGGGAGCCCACCGCGGCTCCCTTCGCTCACGCTGTGGCCGCCATGACGTGGGGCCTAGATGGCAGTTTCTCCCAAACCCATCACCATCACCTTTCTCCTGATCAGCATCTTCTACTGGACTAAGGCTCGTTTTCTCCCCAAAATGCGTTTAGAGAACAATGTGCACGTGTCATGGGGAGCCCCCAGAACACGACTCTGCTGGCGGGGCGGGGGGTGGTGGGAGGGGTGTCCCACCCCAGAGCCTGGCAGCGGCAGCCTTGGGCAGCTGCCCAGAGTCCTTGAGCAAGCAGGGGAACAAACAGCTGCCCAGAGTCCTTGAGCAAGCAGGGGAACAAAGGCCAATGGGAAGCACCTCAGGCTCAGCGGCAGGCGGATGTGTGTGAGGGGTGGGGGATTGGGGGCAGAGTCCAGAGGGCTGGGCAGGGGTCCCACTCTGAGGCAAGGCGGAGGAAGTTCCTGTCTGCAGGTGTAAGTGCCCCGAGTCCAGGAGAGGCTCTGGGGCTGTGTCAGGGGAAAGAGCCAAGTCCTCATACCCTAGGGAAGAGGTGGGGTGGGGTGATGGGCACAGGACAGGCAGAGAGTGAAGGGGCAGGAGGGACACCTCCGGGGCTGAGGGCCAAGCTCTGCAGGGATTGGGCCCCCGGAGAAGGGATGAGAGTGAGGCTGAGCTCAGCAGTTGTTGGCAGGGTCAGCGGCGTGGTGTGTGAGGGGGAGGGAAGGATGTTGCGGTGCAGGGGTGAGTAGGGGAGAAATGGGGCGGCTCCCCTCTGGAGGGCTGAGGGGTGCAGGCAGCACTGAGCGGGAGGGAGGACGGCTGGCTTTATTTATCCCTGTGATGTGGGAGGAGATCCCAGCAGAACACTTCCGAGAGGGGAGGAGGAAGGTAGGGCTGGGGGGCTTGGGAAGCAGGCCACAGTCTTGCCTGACCCCAATCCTCCCGGCCTGGGCAGAGGGGCTGCTGTCCCTCCACGGGGGAGACACTGAACCCCATGTCTTGCCAGGCCCTTCTGCAGGGAGCCCCCCTCTAAGAGGGCTTCTGAGGGAGACCCCAGGGCAGTGTGGTGACTGTGCCAGGACAGGCCACTGCCAAGTCCCCGAGGATCGACCGCCGTGGGCTCCTGGTAAGGGGGCTGCCCCCACCGAGGCCACCATGCCTGGCCTGGCCCTGGTCCTGGGGGATGGGAGCCAGGCGCCAGGCCAGCACAGGCAGGGCCAGAGCAGGGCCCCTGCAGCTGGGGTCCGGCAGGGACACGGCAGGCGGGCCGGCCTCTGTGGGGACTGGCTGGCAATTAGAACAGAAACGGCCTAAAGAGAGCCAAGTGCCATCAGGGTTAAATGCAGGTGAGTTTATTAGGTTTTCCAAGCAGCTTCTGAGGAGGTGAGACCACTGAGGCTTGCACTGCGGACAGGGACCCCATCCCAAGCCCTGGGCCCCAGGCGGAGTGCGGCTGGGAGCCTGGGCCATCCTCCTGGGCTGAGAGGAGGAAGGGCTGTCCACGCACTCAGGAGTTCCTAAGAGATAGACCTAAGGCGGCTGTGAAGCCTGCAGTGCCCCATAGAGCTGGCTGGCCTGGGGGAGGGGGGACATGTTTGCTCAGCAGCAGGACCCCTGGGCCGAGGTGGGGACGCAACAGGCCGGGCGGGAGCACACGGGGCGGCAGATCAGGGACATGCAGGAGGACGGGCGGCAGCAGCTGGGCTGGCAGGAGGAGGCAGGGCCACAGCAGGAGGAGGTGGACACACAGCAGGCAGGTCTGCACACGGGGCGGCAGATGACGGACACGCAGGAGGAGGGTCTGCAGCAGGATGAGGTGCAGGAGGTGGGCTGGCAGCACGAGGAGGCCCCAGAGCAGACGGGCACACAGCACAGGGGCTTGCAGCAGACAGGTGTGCCGCAGACGGGCACACAGCAAGAGGGCTGGCAGGGGGAGGAGGTGCAGCAGGAGGGCTGGCAGCATGAGGGCATGCAGGAGCTGGTGCAGGAGCTGGTGCAGGCTGACTGGCAGGGGCTGGGCCCACAGGTCACCTGGCAGCAGGGGCTGGACATGCAGCTCACTGGGGTGCAGATGAGGGTCTGGGTGGGGACCAGGGCACAGCAGCTGGGGGTGCAGCAGGAGGGCTGGCAGCAGCTGGGGACACAGCAGGTGGGGGCGCAGCAGGAGGGCTCACAGCAGCTCTCTGGACAGTCATCCACCTGCCAGGAGGAGTCGGTGCAAGAGTCACTGGAACCGGGCAGGCAGGCGCGGTTGCCATAGCTCAGGTTGCTGGAGCAGATGGACAGGGCGGAGGAGGCCATGGTGGGATAGAGGCTGGAGGAGGTGTGAGTGTGTGAGTGTGTGAGGGAGTGGTTGTGAGGTGTGTGAGCTGGAGGAGGTATGAGTGTGTGAGGGAGTGGTTGTGAGGTGTGTGAGCTGCTCAGGGTGGTGGGGCTTTTATATGGCTCAGCGGTGTGTGTTGTCCCATCATGAGGGCACGGAAGAGTCTGCTTCCTTGTTGTTGGAGCAAGTCCCTGAGGACGCTTGTCACAGACCCATGACAGCTCAGCTCCTTGAACCCCAGAGAGGTGGGAGGCCAGGGCCCACAGAGCCGGCTGCAAGGGAGGCCTCCACAGCTGGGCCGACCTAGGCATGGACACGGGAGGGCCAGGTATTCCCCACAGCCCCCCTCTGAGCAGCTTTCTGGGGTTTCTTACTATTATTTCTCAACGCTCAGTGGGATCATAAGCATATTTTATTCTGTTTTATATCCTACTTATTTAGGGGTGTGATTCTTTCCTGAATTCACAGCAATGAGTGGTTTGGGAGCTGTGTTGACTTTTATTGTATTAGCAAATACTTAAATAATAGCTCTTGCCATGCCAGCGTCTATTCTGAGCAACTTAATAAATATTACCTCCACAACCCTCACAACAAACAGCCTTGTGAGGGAGGAGCTGTTGTTATTTCCACTTCACAGATGGGGAAACTGAGGCATGGCTAAGAACTTGCACCAAAGCCACCCTAGCAAGCAGAAGAGCCCAGATCGAAACCCAGTGGCCTGTGTCCTTAACTATAAAAGTCAGAGGGAGCCTGATGCCCACAGGCAGTGGGAGAAGTGAGGGCTGACGAAGTGGACTGGCCTCTCTGAAATGAAAAGCCCAGATTGGCAGGATTGCCAGTGACGGTGGTATGAATATTCCCACCATGGCTGACTTCAAGCCAATAGTGGTTTAATAACTCGCTTGCAAAAGTCTTGACTATTGCACATCTGGTTCTTATAAACCACACTAGAGGCCCGGTGCAAGAAATTCGTGCATGGGGCGGTCCCCTCAGCCTAGCCTGCACCCTCTCCAATCCAGGACATCCCTCTCACAATCCGGAACCACTGGCTCCTAACTGATCCCCCCCCCTCCGCCTGGTTGTGCGCAACTGCCCTCCCTACTGGCCTGGTTGCCCACAACTATCCCCCTCTGCCAGCCTGTTTGCCTCTAACTGCCCCCACTCCCACCGGCTTGGTCACCCCTTACTGCCCCTCCTACTGGCCTGGTTGCCCCCAACTACCCCCTTTTGCAGGTCTGGTTGCCCCTAACTGCCCCCCGCCCCCCCCAGCAGTCTGGTCATCCCCAAGTGCCCCTCCCCCCGCCAGCCTTGTCACCCTACACAGCCTGTTGTTCGGTTGTCTGACCGGTTGTTTTGGTTGTGATGACCCCTGGTTTTTTTTTTTTTTTTTTTTTTTTTTTTTTTTTTTTTTATGTATTAGGATGAACTAGCAAGCTTTGGGGCCAGGGACTTGGATATGAAAACAGTCTCAGATGATGGAGGTCCTGGGCACCTGAAAGGATTCTGAGCCAAGTTTGGGAATGGCCAGTAGGAAGCCCCTGGAATGTGGCCTTAGCATAATGTCCTCAAGGTCTACGAGTCAGGAGTTCTTGTATTTTCATGGTTGAATTATATTCCACTGTACGGCCATCCCCATGGTGTTTACCCATTCCTCCCGATGGACACTTGGGCTGTCTGTACTTCTTGGCTACTGAGAATAAGGTTGCAAGGACAAGCTGAGTCCCCCTTTTCAGTTCTTTTGTGTGTTAACTCAGGAGAGGAATTTCTGGGTCATATGGTAATTCTAGGTTCCTTTCTCTGGTTCCTTTCAACACGTTCTCTCTCGTGAGTGCTCTGGTTTCCGCTGCGTGGACCTCGGCATTTCTTTTTATTCTCACGTGTGTTGTGCTTTGTGACTCGGAGGTACATGTTTTCCTCGTTTCTGGAAAACGATCTACATTCCTGAATGCTGCCTTTCCCCAGGTCTCTCTGGCCTCTTCCTCCAGAATGTCATTTAAGTGAATATTGAACCTTTTCTATCTCCCAAGTCTCTTAGCCACTTTTTAATTTTTAAAAAATATCTTGTTTTTGTATAACATTTTCAGATCAGCATTTGAATTTATGCAAATTCTATGCAGCCTGTCTAATCTTCCATCTCACCCAGCCAGTGGGTTTTATTTCAATGATTTTACATATCTTAGCTTTAGAAGTTGTATTTGATTCTCTCCAGTACCGTATTTTTTGGACCATAAGACGCACTTTTTTCCCCCCCCAGAAGTGGGGGGAAAATGTCCCTGCGTCTTATGGTCCAAATATAGCCTACACATATACTTTAAAAAAAAAGTTTTTTTACTTGCCCCGCTCTGTGTGGTCTCTGTGTGCTTGCCCGGCTCTAAAATGGTTCTAAATGCTGCTGTTTACTTTACAGGGTTGATTACATGTGTTTATGACTGTGATGTTGGGTTTTAATGCACATAAAATATTTTAGGACACTATTTGTTTCAGAATCTTTTTTTCTTCATTTCCCTTCTCTAAAAACTGGTGCGTCTTATGGTCCGGAGCGTCTTATGGTCCGAAAAATACGGTATATCTTTCTAAAGGGTATATCTTGTCCCTTATGCTTCCCATTATATTTTTTGTTCTTAAGCAAACCGATTTACAATTCTGTGATCAAAATTCCCACCACATGGTGTCCTTGGGACCTTGGGGATTCCAGCCATGTCTTCCCCACCAGGCTGGGATTTGGGGCTATGCCTTCTCCATCAGAAAAAGATTAGGGCTGTGTCTCCCTTATTGCATCAATGGCTGGGTAGCATTTCCCTTTCAGGTCTGTTGTTCTTTTTAAAAAATATATATTTTTATTGATTTCAGAGAGGAAGGGAGAAGAAGAGAGATAGAAACATTAATGACGAGAGGGAATCATTGATTGGCTGCCTCCTGCAGGTTGGACTGAAACCACAACCCAGGCATGTGCCCTTGACCGGAATCAAACCTGGGACACTTCGTTCCACAGGCTGAGGCTCTATCCACCGAGCCGAACCGGCTAGGGCACATCTGTTGTTCTTAGGACCCTTGGCTTGTGTGCATACACACTCTCATGTGTTTTGTATTTGGGGTTGTGGGCTCACAGGTGAGGTTCTTGCGTTATGTATGTTAACTCTAAAAAGCTCAGATTGGAGTTGTGCATGCCTCTAGAGCACATGTGTCAAACACAAGGCCCGCGGGCCAAATCCGTCCCACCAGGCCTTGCAATGTGGCCCGCACCGCGCTGTCATCACTGCACTCCACTGCGTTTCCATCACAATGACAGTTTATGACTGTTCAGTAAACCATTCGGCCCGCGATTTAGGCTGGATTTTAGATTTTGGCCCCTTCTCTGATTGAGTTCGACACCCCTAGAGAATGCGTGCCAGGAACTGTGTTCTGCTCCTTCTAAATGGTGTCTGACTGAGCCTGGCAGTCTCCTGAGTCAGTGCCGGGCACATTCTTAGCCGTGCCAGGCGGGGACCCCGAGGTTACGGAGAGGCAGATTGTGCCCCAGGTGGCTATGTAGATGACAGAGCTGCAGTTCACACCCAGCTCCTCCTGACAGCACAGCACTGAGCCCCTGACGAGGCAGATGCCAGTCTCCATGAGGGAAAGGGGAAGGAGAAGGCCAGGAGTCCAACAGTGTGCGAGACACCATGCTAGACTGCAGGCTGAGGGAGGGCCAGGATGACAGACCACCCAGGAGGGCGGGCTCCTCTGTTCCGCTTCAGCTGGACATTCACCTTGACCTATGTGGTCACTGAGAGTCACCTCGCCCCCCACTGGATGGGCCTGGGTTCAGCCGTCCTAGCTCACTGCTGTCTGCCCTGGGCCAGTGCAGAGGTGCGTGGGAAATGTGGTCAGACATGAGGGCCTGGCGTCCTGCTCTTTATCGTTTAGGGAGCCATGGCCGTGAGCATCCCAGCCAGCTGGTGGCAGAGGCCAGCATGCCAGCATGCCAGCGGGAGCTGGCTGAGGAGCCCATCAGTGCTGTGTTCAGAGAATGTGCCACTTCTCTGCCGAAAGCCAGTCGGTGGGAGAAGGGAGCTGCTGGGAGCGGAGGGGGTCATGGTTGGGTTGTCACCACACCCTGTGCTGTCTCAGTGTCCATCTCCCGGGGGTCGCCCTGACCATGAGCGCTCTTTCATAGCTGTGGCCCAGGGCACAGGGCAGGCCAGCAGCCTGCAGGCAGGACAGAGGTGGGCACCAGGCTCTGGCTCACTCACCATCCTCCTGAGGATGGACCAGCCCCAGCCCTTCATCCCAGACCCTCATTTTGGAGGCTGTACCACCCCTTCTCGCCCCAGAGGAGGGTGCTAATGGAGATTTCCAGAGAGAATGCCAGGTGAATCAGTGTCTTAACCAGCCATCGGGTGGTTCCTGGTTCAGTCATCCCGTAGGAGCCATGCAAAGACCGTGATCATTCACCAGAAGACCAGCTATGGTGGCTGGAGAGGATGTCCCCATGCAGGGCACAGCTCGGCTGTCTGACCAGGGAGAGCCGGTGTGCCGGTCACAGCATCAGAAGCAATCAGGGGTGCAGCAGAAGACAGGCAGGCAGGCCATGGAGACACTGGAGGAGGTCTCGAACATGGCGGGCTGGTAGTAGTCCTGGCTGCCAGCAGGCTGGCAGGGGCTGGCCGACCCATCTGCGGGACAGCACAGCACACAAGGGAGGGGGAAGCAGCAGGAGATCCCACAGCCCATGAGAGAGCAGCAGGCAGGGACAGGGACGGAGGGCCAGAGGCAGGGGGTTAGACCTGGGAGCCGCTAGCGTGGCACATGGTGGTGTGGGGCTGGGGTGGAGCTGGCCTGGAGGCTCCTCCCTGGGGGTGGCCTTTATTACCCAGGCCTGGGGTCTTGGCAACCTGTCCACTGTTGGCTGTTATTGCTGATGTCACGTCCCTGTTTCTGTGTTGGGTGCCCCATGAAGCCAGTTCAATAAAGAAAGCCCACGCAGCCGAAACCAGTTTGGTTCAGTGGATAGAGCGTCGACTTGCTGACTGAAGGGTCCCAGATTCGATTCCGGTCAAGGGCATGTACCTTGGTTGCGGGCACATTCCCAGCAGGGGGTGTGCAGGAGGCAGCTGATCGATGTTTCTCTCTCATCAATGTTTCTAGCTCTCTATCCCTCTCTCTTCCATTCCTCTGATTCCATCTTATTCACCCATTCAGTTAATTTTTTTTCATTTGATTTCTTGTTCATTTATTTTGATTTTTAGATTTGATTGTTGAGAGATATGTATTTGTTGCCATTTTATTGTTCATAGTTTTTCTGTCCTTCCCCATCCTCTTCTTCTTTTTTTTCCCCCTCTTCTTAAATAATACCCTCCAACATTTCATATAATATTGGCTTGGTGGTGATGAACTCCTTTAGCTTTTTCTTGTTTGTAAAGCTCTTTATCTGACCCTCAATTCTAAATGAGAACTTTACTGGGTAGAGTAATCTTGGTTGTAGGTCCTTACTAGTCATCACTTTGAATATTTCTTGCTACTACCTTCTGGCCTGCAAAGTTTCTGTTGAGAAGTCAGCTGACAGTCATATGGGTGCTCCCTTGTAGATAACTAACTGCTTTTCTCTTGCTACTTTTAAGATTCTCTCTCTGACTTTTGCTCTTGGCATTTTAATTATGATGTGTCTTGGTTTGAGCCTCTTTGGGTTCCTCTTATTTGGGACTCTCTGTGCTTTCTGGACTTGTAAGCCTATTTCTTTCACCAGGTAGGGGAAGTTTTCTGTCATTATTTCTTCAAATAGGTTTTTAATATCTTGCTCTCTCTCCTTTCCTTTTGGCATCCCCATAATGCGAATGTTGGTACACTTGAGGTTGTCCTAGATGCTTCTTATACTTTCTTCATATTTTTTAATTCTTTTTTCTCTCTCTTTTGATTGAGTGTTTTTTGCTTCCTCATATCCCAAATCATTGATTTGAATCTTAGAATCCTCTACTCTACTGTTGAAGCCATATACATTGTTCTTTATTTCAGTTAGTGTATGCTTAATTTCTGACTGGTCTTCTTTCATGTCTTTGACATTCTCACTAAGATCCTTGAAAGTCTCATGAAGATCCTTGAGTAACCTTATAACCATGGTTTTGAACTTTGTATCCAATAGTTTGCTTGCTTCCATTTCTTTCATTTGTGAGGTTTCTTTGTCTCCTCATTTTGGCTGCTTCACGGTGTTTGTTTCTGTGTATTGGGTAGAGCTACTATATCTCCTGAAATTGGTAGAGTGACCTTGTATGGTAGGTGTCCTGTAGGGCCCATTGGCTCAGTCTCCTCAGTCACCACAGCTGGGCATACTAGATGCACCCCTGCATGGGCTGTGTGCACAGTTTTATTGTTGAGCCTTGATTGCTGTTGGCGTCTCTGGGAGGAGTTGACCTCCAGGCCAATTCGGCTGGGAGGACCAGCTGCAACTACAGTGGGAGAGCTGCTGTGCAGGATTCAAGGCCCAGCTGTGAAGCAAGGCAGGCTGATGCTAGTGCCAGGACTTGGACCTTTTATTGGTAGGTTTGGGGCTGCCACCAGCTGCAACTTGTTTAAGAGATTTTAGCGAAGCCTGAGCCAGGACAGGCTACTCATTCGGAAAAGCTGCTGCATACCACTCGGGTGGGGCTTCAAATTGGATTGGGCAGAACAAGCAGCGTGGGCCACGCTGATACGGCTGCCAGTCAGCCCTGCGACAGAGGAGACCCCAGCGTGGGAACAATGACCCTGCGAGCACCCCTGCCTGGAAGAAAGCCACCCCTGGGTTCCTGCCCAGATGCCAGTTCCTCCCCGTATGTGTCTGGGTTCTCCAGAGCCACCTGGTGCTGGAGCTCAGTGGTGTCGAATCCTGGTAAGTTTGTGCGCCAGCCCTTTAATAGGAACAGCTGGGTCTCCAGCAGCCTCCATGTCTCTCAGCCACAATTCCTGCTGGTTGTTACAGCCTGTACTTATGGGGACTTTTCTTCCAAGCTCTGGGGCCCTGGGATGGGAGTCTGATGTGGAGCTGGGAACCCTTTCCCTTCTCCGGCAGCCTCCACAGAGATAATCTCCCTCCTCATCGAAAAACTGGCACATGTGGGTGCTGTGCCAGCTGTTCAGCTCGGGCTCCCCTCCAACTAGTCTCACTGTGCTTTCTCCTTTACTTCTCTAGTTGTAGGACTTCCATTCAGCCAGCTTTCAGGTGGTTCTGAAGGATGGTTGTTCCGTATTTCAGTTGTAATTTGTGATGTGGTTGTGGGAGGAGGCGAGTACAGGCGTTTACCTATGCTGCTATCTTGGTTCTTATCACACCTGTTATAGCAATTCTTTAGGGTACCCTATAAGACCCAGGGCCCAGGACTGTTTTCCATCCCACTCAGCTGGAGAGAAATTTTTCCTCTGCCCTGTTGACAGTGTCTTGGGTGGCAGCCTTGGGAACGACACCTCCCCCCCCCACTCCACCCACAGAGGACACCCCCATCCACTGAGGACACCCCCGCTTTTAGCTGGGCTTTCCGGAGAGAGCTCTTTGAGGAGGTGTGGCTGTGCTTAGGCAGGTATTCACCTTCAAAGAAGAAACTTTAAGATATGCGAAGGAGAAAAAAGAGGCACACCTGCGTGGAGAAAGCATGGTTTATTTGCCTCAAACCAGGTGGGGTTTCCTGCTGGAGCCCTCAGGGGCTGCCCAGGGCCATGTGGGATCCAGATTGCCCTGCTGCCTTCTGGTCCTGGAGTTCAAAGGGCTTGTCTAACGTGCTTTTCCTCTGCCAGGAGCAGAACCTGGAGGCGCTGGGGACTGGCTGTGGGAGGTGCGGGTGTGGCCCGTCTGCACGGGGAGCAGCTGGGTCGGAGGCTCGTGGTCAGCAGCAGGAAGGGGCACCACCAGAGATGGGTCTTCAGACCAGGGCGGGGCAGGAGGGCTGGGCACACCCAGAGGACTGGCAGGAGGAGGCCACACACACGACCTGGGGCTTGCAGCTCACGGGCAGGCACACGGAGGGCTGGCAGGAGGGAGCCATGCACACAGTAGGTCTGCAGCTCACAGGCCAGCAGGGCACCTGGCACCTCACAGGTACATACACAGCTGGCTTGCAGCTCACGGGCAAGTACATGGAGGACTGGCAGGAGGGGGCCATGCACACAGTGGGCCTGCAGCTCACGGGCAGGCACATGGAGGACTGGCAGGAAGGGGCCATGCACACAGTGGGCCTGCAGCTCACAGGCCAGCAGGACACCTGGCACCTCACGGGTACATACACAGCTGGCTTGCAGCTCACGGGCAGGCACATGGAGGACTGGCAAGGGCTGGGCAAGCAGCAGCCAGCCTGGCCGCCTGTGTAGGAGCTGGTGTCGCACATGTTGTCGAGGGCTGGCTGGGTGGGAGTGAGGGCGGAGATGTCTGCGGACTCCTTCCTTGGAGGCCTTTATACCCAGGCTTTATACCCTGCAATACAGAAGCACGACTGTTGACTTCCTCCTACTTCCCCACGGCTGCTTCCTCCGTGTTTCCAGCACCTTCTTTCCTGGGACGCGCGCTCCTGTGTGAGGCTCCACGTAAACAAGCTTGGCTCCGAGGCCGGGCCCCTCTGTAAACAGGGAGTTCTGGTTTGACCACGTGGGCGCCGGAGGTTCCTCCAGGCCATTCCTGTGCACCGAGAGCCTGGCTTGCTCAGAGAACCGTGTCCTTCTGGCCGCTGGTGTCTCCTGCCCTCAGAGAAGACTGAGGCAGTCGTGCAGGCTGAGCGTGTGTCCCGCACAGGAAGCCTTAAAGCAGCTCTGCAAGCTGCAGTCTGCAAGAAGGAGCTGGCTGCTGCCCGTGTGTGGATAAAAGCTTGTGGACGCAGCCACGTTCGTGTCCCCGCGTCTGTCTGGGGCTGCTGAGGCTCAAGCCGCTGAGCAGTTCGGGAGAGACCTGGTGTCAGCAAAGCCCCAAATGCTCACCATCTGCCCTTTGCAGAGAGTTTGCCCAAGATCTAGGCAGAAATTGACTTGTTTGTGCGACAAGTAGCCCACCCCACATGCAGGCTGGGGAGCCACCTGGCCTCGGAGCCTTCCAGGGCAAGGAGTAAAGAAGCAGGTGGAGAAATTCATGCACAAAGTAATTCCCGGAGTAGAACGGGCAGCAGACAGGGAGTGAGGGGGCTGGTGGGTGGCTGGGCCTCCATGAGGAGGCGATGTTGAGCTGCAGTGGGTGATGTGAAGGGCAGTGCCCCAGGCAGAGTGTGAGGGCACTGCTGCGGAAATGGGCGTGCTTGGGGAGTGATGGGGAGTCCCAGAGTCTGAGGTGCTAGGGCACAGGTGCAGGTGGACCGATTTAAGGCATGCCACCCAAGCTGATGGAGAAGAAAGAGTTGGTGAACTCGAAGACACTCATTAGAAAGTCTCTAATCTGAAGAAGAGGGAAAAGAACTAAGAAAAGGGCCTCTGAGAGAACGTAAAAAACAAACAAACAAACAAACAAAAAACACACACAAAAAACAAAAACACAACTAACATAGAAGTACTTTTAACCCAAGGGGAGAATGCCATTGAGACATATGGATGTCTTGAAGAAATATAGACAAAATCCCCAAATTTGATGTAAAAAACCTAACTCATAGATCGGAGAACCTCAGAACCTCAAAGCCCCAGCGTTTCTTGGCACAATGGACTCCAGAGTGAAACAGCTATTTTGCACGCCTGCTTCTCTGTCTGCGGCGACGGGGCGGGCACACGTCACCCATTCTGGAATAGTGCAGATGGATAAGTCATCAATTATGCGACAGTTCGTGTAAAACACAGCACAGACCTGGCACCAAGCCAGACCCGTTACTGTTGTTACTGGGGTGACGTGGTCCTCATGCTCCCACTGGGGAGCCCAGCAGCATTGGGGAGACAGCTGAATCACTGAGTTTCCAGATCTAAACGGGGGACCCCCAGTGCAGCAGTGACTGTGCTTACGTGGACAGAGGACAGTATTTAAAATTGGGGAGGACCTTGGAAATCATTGCTGGGTCCCCTATCCCCTAACCATGGCCCTTCACTATCCAATCTGGGCTCTGGTTCCAGAAATCATAGGGCCACCGGGATTTCCTGAACCGGTGGGGTCACTTCCACCAGGAAGAGGCACACGAAGCGGGAAGAGGAGGAGGACCCGGGAAGGCAGCCATGAGGAAGGCACTGTGCGGCTGGTTGCAGGGACACTGCAGCCTGGTGTAAAGGTTGCTCTGGGAACGAGCCTGCAGACCAGCCCTGCCCTCTGCTCTGACCCCACTCCAGCCCCATGCCACCATGTGCCACACCAGCTGCTCCACCAGTCCCTGGGCTGAGTTGCTGCCATTGGCCTGCCCCTGGGCTGCGGGAGCGCCCTCTGCTGTGCCCCCCATGCCACTCTGCTGTGCCTGCCAGTGTGCAGCTCAGCCACCTCCTGCCAAGGGGCCTGCAGCTGCCTGTCCCCGTGTTGCCCAGTAGCCCTCTGCCTAAAACCTGGCCAGCGGTGTGCCCAGCCCCTGCCAGGTGACCTGCTGCATGTCCCTGGGCCTCCAGGCAGCCTTCTTTGTGCCCATGAGCTGCAGGCCCCCTCCTGCCAGCCCTCTGGATGCAGCCAGCCGTCCTGTCACACCCTCATCTGTAGGCAGGTCCCCCCAGGACACCTTCTGGCCCCTGAGCCTTTGGCTTCCCAGGACCCTCCTCCTGGGGTCAGGAGCCTCCACTTCAGACCTCCTGGGTCCCACCAGATCACTTTGTAGTGCGGCCACTGGATTCCAGCGAGCCAGGCTGAGGGACTTGCCCCCAGTTCATCCCAGCGGCAGGTGCCACAGGGTCCAGGCCCTGCATCCTCCGGCATCCAAGGCCTAACAAATATCAGAGTGGATGCTCGCCCGAGTGTGGCCATGTCCCTCCTTCAGTTCCCTAAACTGCTTCTGGGTGTGGTTTCGGTTCGCGACCCACAGGTTGAGAACCCCTAGAAGGGTCATCTAAGACCATCAGAAAACACAGATATTTACATTACGATTCATAACAGTAGCAAAATTACAATTATGAAGTAGCAACGAAAATAATTTTATGGTTGTGGGTCACCACAACATGAAGAACTTTATTAAAGGCTCGCGACATTAGGAAGGTTGAGAACCACCACTTTAAGGTATTACAAATGTGTCCTTATCTCCCCATTGTCCCCCCATCCCTCCAGGCCTGCCCTCAACCCCTCTGTCAGCGTCCATTGGTTATTCTTATATGAACGCATATAAGTCCTTTGGTTGATCTCTCCCCCTTATCCCCACCCTCCCCTACCTTCCCTCTGAGGTTTGAGCATCTGATTGATGCTTCTCTTTCTCTAGATCTGTTTTTGTTCATTGGTTTATGTTGTTCATTATATTCCACAAATGAGTGAGATCATGTGATATTTATCTTTCTCTAGATCTGTTTTTGTTCATTGGTTTATGTTGTTCATTATATTCCACAAATGAGTGAGATCATGTGATATTTATCTTTCTCTGACTGACTTATTTGGCTTAGCATAATGCTCTCTAGGTCCATCCAGGCTGTTGCAAATGGTAGGAGTTCCTTACTTTTTATAGCGTAGTATTCCATTGTGTAGATGTGCCAAAGTTTTCTAATCCACTCATCTGCTGATGGTCACTTAGGCTGATTCCAAATCTTAGCTATGGTGAATTGTGCTGCTATGAACATAGGGGTGCATATGTCCTTTCTGATTGGTGTTTCTGGTCTCTTGGGATATATTCCTAGAAGTGGGATCACTGGGTCAAATGGGAGTTCCATTTTTAGTTTTTTTTTTTAGGTTTTTTTAAAAAATATATTTTATTGATTTTTTACAGAGAGGAAGGGAGAGAGATAGAGAGCTAGAAGCGTCGATGAGAGAGAAACATTGACCAGCTGCCTCTTGCACACCCCCTACCGGGGATATGCCCGCAACCAATGTACATGCCCTTAACTGGAATCGAACCTGGGACCTTTTAGTCCGCAGACCGATGCTCTATCCACTGAGCCAAACTGGCTTCGGCCATTTTTAGTTTTTTAAGGGAACTCCATACTGTTCTCCACAGTAGCTGCACCAGTCTGAATTCCCACCAGCAGTGCACGAGGGTTCCTTTTTCTCTGCATCCTCGCCAGCACTTGTCGTTAGTTGACTTCTTGATGATAGTCATTCTGACAGGTGTGAGATGGTACCTCACTGTTGTTTTGGGTACCTCGCAGATGATTAGTGACTTGGAGCATGTTTTCATATGTCTCTTGGCCTTCCTTCTGTCTTCTTTAGTAAAGTATCTACTTAGGTCCATTGCCCATTTTTTGATTGGGTTGTTTGTCTTCTGAAATCAATAAAAATATTTTTAAAAATTAAAAAAAGAGAAAAATATGGCTCCTTCTCCCAGTCAGCAGAGAGGGCTTGCTGGGCAACTTCTGTGGTCCCCAGAGATGTCCTCATCCTAATCCCAGAACCTGTGACTATGATGCTCGCAGGCAAAGTGACTTGAAGATGGGAGCCAATGAAGGGCTTTGTGATGGGAGATGATCCTAGGTCACCAAGGGGCCCCAATGTCATTACAGGGACTTATGAGGGGGCAGGGGACTGGGCTACAGAAGAGGATGCCCTGGGATGATGGAAGCGAGACGCTAGGCTGCCTAGACGCTTAGAGCATGCAAATATGGAATGTGGCGGGGACCTCTGGGAGCTGAAGGGGACCAGGGACAGATTCTTCTCTGGAGCCTCCAGTAGGTTCCAGTCCTGCCCACACGTTGAATTCAGCTCAGAGAGACCCATGGCAGGCCCTGGACCCAGAGCTGTGAGGCTATAGATTTGTGTCGTTGTAGCCACTGGGCTCTTGTTCTGGCCGCAGGGTAGACCCACCTTTGGCGCACAGTCTCCGTGTCCACTCTTCCTCCACGATGCCGGTGGCTGCGGTGTGACGGGAGGGGCGGGAGAGGCAGGGGAGGAGCAGGCGGTGTCCGGGGCAGGGTGCCGCTGGCTTCCCTTCGCCTGCTGCGGGGACTTGGAGCCCTCTTTCCTCCAGGGCTCCTCCCACTGAGCCTCTGTCCCTTGCCCACCTGCCAGGGAGGAGGCCCCACTCCAGGTGATTCGTTCCCTTCTTAGGTGCTTAGCAGCAGGGCCCCTGTTCAGGGCTGTCCTCCTCCAGGCTCTCCCTTGGCCTGTGTGTCCACCCTGTCCTGGTCCCCAGGTCATCCGGACGGTGGGGACTCTCCGGCAGCATCACCCTTAGTCCTTCCGCCCATGGAGCCTCCAGCACAGATGCTGGCTGTGTCTGCCCCAGGCTGTGGCGGTCCCCCTGTAGGGGACACTGTCACACAGCGCCCACCCAACAGGGTGTCTGCTGCTCCCAGCTCCCCTTCGCCTGGACGGGCAGGGGCCCACGTCCACTCAGGGTCCATGCCTCCAGCACCCACACCCGCCTCCTGGCCCAGCCTTGGAGGGCTGCCCACTGCGGGCAGGGTGGGCCGCTGGGTCAGGAAGGGAGAGGAGCGTGCAGGTGGCTCCCTTTCAGATCTCTGAACATGGGGTGGAGAGCACATCTTTATTGTCTGGCTCCTGCCAGGCGGAGTACCAGAGCCCAGGTTGGGAGTGGCCCAGGGGGCCCGGAAAGGAGAAAGCAAACACATTTCCCGGCACAAACGTTTTATTGATTTAGCAATTGGCTCTTGTCATGTGGAAAGCACACTACCAGGCCTGCAGAGGAGGCTCTGGGGCCCCAAGTCCACCCCAGTGAGGGGTTTGTGGGTCATCTCTCCTCAAAAAGGGATGGGGGCACGTTCACTTCTGCATTAGGCAATGACTGTGGGACCACCGACGGGAGAGGGGAGGGCTGGCACCAGCAGAGGGTGGAGGGGGAGGGCTGGCACCAGCAGAGGGTGGAAGGGAGGAGGGCTGGTACCAGTAGGAGGGCTCTGGGGAGAGGAAAACTGTGCTCAGGAGCAAGGACAGCAGCCGAGAGGCAGAAGATGGAGCTGCTCAGCAGCAGGCTGGGCGGGAGCACACGGGGCTGCAGAGCAGGGACGTGCAGGAGGACGGGCGGCAGCAGCTGGGCTGGCAGGAGGAGGTGGGGCCACAGCAGGAGGAGGTGGGCACACAGCAGGCAGGCCTGCACACAGGGCGGCAGATGAGGGACACGCAGGAGGAGGGTCTGCAGCAGGATGAGGTGCAGCAGCTGGGCTGGCATGAGAAGGCAGGGCCACAGCAGGAGGAGGCAGGGCCACAGCAGGAGGAGGTGGGCACACAGCAGGCAGGTCTGCACACGGGGCGGCAAATGAGGGACACGCAGGAGGAGGGTCTGTAGCAGGATGAGGTGCAGGAGGTGGGCTGGTAGCAGGAGGAGGCCCCAGAGCAGACGGGCTCACAGCACAGGGACTTGCAGCAGACGGGTGTGCAGCAGACAGGTTTGCAACACACTGGCTTATAGCAGATGGGCACACAGCAGGCCTGCTGGCAGGGGGAGGAGGTGCAGCAGGAGGGCTGGCAGCTAGACTGCTGGCAGCATGAGGGCATGCAGGAGCTGGTGCAGGTTGATTGGCAGGGGCTGGACATGCAGTTCACTGGGGTGCAGATGAGGGTCTGGGTGGGGACCAGGGCACAGCAGCTGGGGGTGCAGCAGCTGGGGACACAGCAGGAAGGCTGGCAGCAGCTGGGAACACAGCAGCTGGAGGTGCAGCAGGAGGGCTCACAGCAGCTCTCTGGACAGTCGTCCACCTGCCAGGAGGAGTCGGTGCAAGAGTCACTGGACCCGGGCAGGCAGGCGCGGTTGCCATAGCTCAGGTTGCTGGAGCAGGCGGACAGGGTGGAGGCGGCCATGGTAGATGGTGCGGCTGAGGTGAGCTGGGAGGAGGTGTGAGAGTGGGTGAAGGTGAGTGAGTGTGCGAGGTGCTGGAACTGTCCAGCTTTTATACCCCTCCCTGGATGCCTGTGTTGTCCCAGCAGGAGGCTCCCCACGCCCTCCCTTCCTTGTTGGTGTTTGCACTGTGAGCACCTTCATTATGGTCGGTCCTCTGTCATGAGATGTCCTTGCTCAGATCATAAATATTTGCCTGTCCTGGACAGGGCTGGTTTCCCTGGCCTGAGTCTGACCTCTGCAGGAATACCTGGAAGGAAGCCACAGCTTCTCCTTGGCTGACCCTTTGGTTTCCACCTGGAGGGCACCTGGTGGCAGCTGGGCCCTGGGGCCACACTTGGTGTGGGCTCAGCCTTTGGTGCCCTCAGCAGGGCTGGAGGCCTGGCCTGTGACTGGAAAAGAAGTGGAAAAGTCCTGGCCTTTTCTGAGGGAAAGGCGATGTGAGGGCAGGCCCTTCCTGGGTGTCGGCCGAGGGCTGAGGGCTGCGAGGGTGAGGAGGCTGAGGACGGGGAAGGACCTCCTGTCTCCGAGGAGAGGCAACTTCCAGCATGCCTGGCCCGAGTTTATTGAGCTTCTTGGATGCAGAGTCCTATGTTTCATCAAATTTGGGAAGTTTTTGGCCATTACTTATTTATTTTTTAAATCATCACTCAAGTTTTATTAACTTTTAGAGAGAGAGGAAGAGAGAGAAACATTGATATGCGAGAGAAACATTGATTGATTGTCTCTCATACATGCCCTGAGCAGGGATCAAACCTGCAGTCTAAGTATGTGCCCTGATTGGAAGTCAAACCTGCACCTTTTGGTGCATGGTTCCTACCAACTGAGCCATTCAGCCAGGGCTTGGCCACTATTTCTTACAATTTTTTTCTGCTCTTTTCTCTCCCACATCTTCCTGGGACTCCATTTTGTATATGTTGTTGTGCTTGATGGTGTCCCACAGGTGCCTTAATCTCTATTCGTTTATCCTCATTTCATTTATTCTATCCGCTCCTCAGACTACAGTATTTCAGCTGACCTATCTTCACTCTCTCTAACTCTTTCTTCTGCCTGCTCAAATGTGCTATTCAGACCTGCTAGTGAAGTTTTTGTTTCAGTTATTGTACTTTTCAACTCTGAATTTTCATTTGGTTTCTTTTTATATTTCTGTCTCTTTATTGATACACTATATTTGGTTAGACATAATTCTCTTGGTTTCTCTTAACTCTTTGTCCATGGTTTTCATGGACTCTTAGAGTATATTAATAAAGTTGACGTAAAGGCTTTGTCTAGTAAGTTGAATTTCTGGACTTTACTTGTAATTTTTTTAAAAACATTTTGAGTATGATAATGTGACTAGAGGCCTGGTACACGGATTTGTGGAGGACACCAGTGAGGTCTCTAAGCCTGGCCTGCACCCTCTTGCAATCCAGGACTCCTTGGAGGATGTCGGAGAGCCGGTTTTGGCCCAATCCCCACAGGCCAGGACAAGGCACCCCGCTGATGCACAAATCTATGCACCAGGCCTCTAGTAAGCATATAAGATCTTTGTATAATCTCTTTCCCCCTTCCCTCTTCCCCTTTCCCTCTAAAATTCATCAGCCTGTTCCATGTTTTCATGCCTGTGGTTTCTGCTCTTGCATTAACTGCCTGCTCCCTGGTGTCAGTGTGCTTCATAGCTACTGGTGGGTTGGCTGGTCACTTAGGCATATATATATATATATATATATATATAGTCTAGAGACCTGCTGCATGAAGATTCATGCAAGAATGGGCCTTCCTTCCCCTGGCTGCTGGCACCGCCTTCGCTCTGGCCCAGCACCACCTTTCTGCCTTTGCTCTGACCTGGAGCCTCCTTTCCGCCTTCCCATGCTGCCCAGAGGCCCGGAGCTGCTGGGGCGATAAGAATGCCTGTGTTGTCACCATGGCGATGACACAAGTGTCTTGCCCACTTGGTGTCTGTGTATGCAAATTAACCCACCATCTTTGGCAGGCTAATTTGCATATCCACTACTGATTGGCTGGTGGGTGTCACAAAGGTACAATTTTCATCTTTCTCTTTTACTAGTACTGTAGATAATTGACATCATATTCTCTTCCCTCCATATAGTATGCTGTTGCTGATTGTTGTGGCTTTTTATTTGTTTAGCAACTCTTTTAAGCTATTTTGTAGTGACTGTACTCTTTGTCATGTGTGGTCTCTGTTAGTAGTCAGATAGTAATTTGACAGATAGCTCCTTAAACACCTGGATCTCCCCAATTTTATTTCCCCCTCATCTATTTAGCTGGGCTCTGTTGGAGCATGCCTTCAACCCTCAGCTGGATAATTCTGCCTTCACCTTCACTTCCTGCTTGCTCAGAGCTTGAAGTGCAGTCAGAGGTGGGCATTTAAGGCCTTCTCAGGTCTTTTCTGAGCACGCACCCCCTCGTATGTACATACGGAGCTTCTTGACTCCCAGGAAATGGTGGAAGCTTTGAAAACCTTATTCTTGAAAGCATCCCATTCCCCAGCTTGTCATTCTGGGCTCATCGGGGTGTCTTCTGTTTGCCACAGCTGATAGTCTTCCCTCGGGTGCCTTAGCTTGTTTATTTGACAAACACTGCCCATGCACATGCCTCTATGCCTTGAGGAAGTTCTGCGTTGGGAGAAATAAAGGCCAGCCCTGTGTGTGAGTCCTTCAACAAGACACCTGGAAGGTTAAAACAAACAGCCATGCTTCCTTTAGGACAGGTCTGCTGTGCTCCCTCCAGCACCAGGCCTCACTGGGAGCAGCACAGGCCGCTGAAGTCAGACTGCTGCTGAGCGGGGATGGGGAGGCACAAGGGGCTGCTAACCCGCTGCAAAGTAGTTCCATGTGGCTGCTCCTGCTTTTTTTTCTTGACAAAGCATTTCCTTGGCTGTTTTAAACCTTTGACCATTTTCCAGAAGTTAGATACAGCTGATTCTGTCAGCTTTGCCAATGCTGCCGCCCCCCCCCCCATCTGCAGTGTTTTGAGGAGGGGAGCTTAGAGTTCCCTATTTTCTGTTTTCTGATATTTTAGTGGGCTCAATTTTGAAAAGTCCTTAGAAGGGCTTTTGTCAGTATCTCCCAGAATTTAAAATTGGCAAACATTCAGACCTAGAAATGCCATGTCAAGGAATGTAAGCGCCATGAAAATGTGCACTAGCGCACATGGGCATAGGTGAGGACCCTCACAGTGGTGTTTGTAATATTCAAGACTAGACAGTCTTTACATTCCCGTCCATCTGGTACGATACATGAATTGATAATGCTGTGTCCACACTTTGGGAGGATGTACACCTTGGCAAAGAAATGAGAAAATATTTTTCTTGTCAAACTGGCAAAGGTAGAGAAATGTGAGCCTCCATGTTGCAAATCTGTGCTATTTAAAAAAAAATTAATCCTCAACTGAGCATATGTCTATTGATTTTTAGAGAGAGTAAAGAAGAGAAGGAAAGGGAGAGAGAAAGAGAGAAACATCGATCAGTTGCCTCCTATATGTGCCCCAACTGCTGATCAAATCTGCACCTAGGTATGTGCCCTGATGGGGAATTAAACCCACAACCTTCTGTGTAGGGAGCGACACTCACCCAACTGAGTCACCAGCCAGGACAACCTGTGCTATTATTGTTCAGACCCAGGACCCCTTGTGGGCAGTGTGGTGACTTCACATCACCAGTGTCTGCACGCTTTGCTCTGCAGTCCTAGTTCCGGGAGTCTGTCCTCAGATTTGCTCAATAATGTGTGAACCTGCATCTGGCTACATCTGGACACACATGTTCACATCTACTTCCTACTTCACGGTTTGGACTCGCTCCCACACATTCTGGGCTTTCCATACCATTATTGCCCCTCCCCCCTCATCTTCCCTTTCCCGCCTGCCCTCCCTCAGCCCAGCCCAGCAGGTGGAGCTCTGAGGACTGCATGTGGTCTCTGCCCTCTGTGTCCCAGTAGCTGGCTCATGTGGGGACACAGGATGTGTGTCCCAGTGTCTATGACTGTGTGTGAGTTCTTGGGGTGCCCAGCCATCCTAAGAGGCCAGTCTGGGTGCTAGGCCAGGCAGTGCCCACAGGCTTGGGCCCGGAACAAAGCTAGGACCCCGCAGGACCTGTGATGGTGGTCAAACAGCTGAATGGTGGCATGAAGGGGACATGAGCTTCCAGGTGTCACGTGCAAAAGCCCCTCAAATTTCCCTAAACTGGTGATATCACGACAGCCGAGGGCACAGGCCTCACCACTGCCCGCACACCCCCAGATGTGTGCAGTCATCATGTAGGGCCAGTGAGGGGAGCAGAGTTTTTATTGGTGCTCAGAGGTTGAGCGACACTGCTTTGTGCGGGACCAGGGTCAGGCAGGCCCCATCCCTGACCAAAGAAGGGCAATGGCCTTTAGCCAGGAAGCATGGTGTGGCGCAGCCAGGGCACCCAGGGCCATCCGCGGCCAGGAGAGGAGCTTCGTGAGCTTCCAGCCCACCCTGGGCTGGGCTAGAGGATCTCAGCCCAGGCTGAGCTGAGCCACACCCAGCGGGGGTGAGCCACAGAAGCCGGAGGTCACCAGCTTCCAGGGGCTTCTAGGTGCTGGAGAGGCAGACTCCCTGGA